AACACACAGACACACACACCACATACACATATACTACACATATACACACACACAAACACACAGACACGTGCAGACACACACACCACATATACATACATAACCACACACCAACACACACACACACACAAACACACACAGGCACACAGACACACATAGACACACACCTCATACACATACATACACCACATGCCAACACACACAGACTCACATAGACACACACATCACACACACATACACTACACACCAACACACACCACATACACACATATATCGCACATACCAACACTCACACAACATATACACAGACACACACACACAGACATGCCACACATATACACCACACACCAACACACACCACATACACACATATATCACACATACCAACACTCACACAACATACACACAGACACACACACAGACATGCTACACATATACACCACACACCAACACACATAGACACACATATACCACACACACCAACACACAGACATACACAGATACACACATAGGTACACACACAGACACAGACACACAGACCACAAACATATATCACACACACACCAACACACACACCACATACACATACACCACACACCAATACACATACAACACACCACATAAAACACACATACACCACACACACACCAACACATGCAGAAACACACACACACACACTCACACACACACTCAGGGAGGACAGTCTCCAAGCTCAGATGTAAGTTCTTGCCCTGCCCTCACCGAGTTTCTCTAAAGACCCTAAAGACAGAAGAGTGCTATCTCAGCTTGATGGAAGGTACCAGACATCAGAGACAACATTGCTCAGGGATTAGGGGGAAAGTCTCCTAGACACAAACTCTTGGTTCCTTCGTCCTGTTTTGTGCCACCTCCCTCCCCTCGGACAAACGAATGAGCACACTTTTATTTTTAGATTCTGTCTAAAGTGGAAAGAGTCTATCAGCATGTGGAAGAGCATGATTCCAAAGCAAGGCTGCCGAGCCCTTGGCTGCCTCTCTGTCCATGTACAGTGTCTACAGTGCCAGGAGACTCTGTCCAGAGTGAAGCCGGTCTCCCTGCCTTCTGCCAGCCTATGCCTGTCACTTACAGCTCACTGTCAATGTCGTGATTTGTCTGTTTCCCACCAGCAGGAAAATCGCACTTGTAGCAAATAGAAGTTTGCATTGCCATGAAAGTCTGTCTCTTAGAGACAAAAATGATTTTTAATGGAGCAGCAGAGTGGCTCGGTCAGTAAACTGCTACACAGATGTGAGGACCCAAGCCTAAATAAACAGGTGCATAGGCAGCCAGGTTGTTGAGATTTCATGGGTGTGGCTTCTGGTCCTTTGTAGAAGGATACATTTTCAAAGTAGATGTCCAGGCCTTCTGACTCTTAGAGTTTTTCTGCCTTCTTTTCAGTGATGTTCCCTGGGCGTTAAAGTGTTGTCTTGTAGATGTATCAAATGGATCTAACCACATCACCACCACCACCACCACCACCACCTCCACCACCATTACTCTGCACCATGGTGAATTATTTGTAAATGGAGTCTGCACGTTGGTTTCTCAGACACCTAGACCCAAATAATCACACAGAAACTATATTACTTGCAACAGTTTGGCCGATGGCTCAGGCATATTTCTAGATAGCTCTTCTATCTTAAATTAAGACATTTCTGTTAATTTATGTATCACCACCAGAATGGTTCCAGCATCATTCTCCTTCGGCAGCTACATGGCATCTCAACTCCATCAACTCTCTCTCTGTATCTCTGTTCGGATTTTCCTCCTGACTTTACTCTGCTAAGCCATTGGCCAAACAGCTTCTTTATTAACTAATGGTAATAAAACATTTTCCCAGCATACAGAGGGGACTCCCACATCAATTATTCTCTGTAATGGTCTCTATCTGTTGTAAAAAGAAACTACTTTAAGGAGAGGAGAGAGCTGCTCTCCTTTATGGCA